CTTTTCTATGAACAATGTACAAACATAATTCATTTTTTTTAATTCTCTTCTAAAGTTAGCAAGTAGTGTTATCCCCATTCTGTCTATGATGAAACATGAACTAGAGAAATGAAGAGAACTTGCCCAAGGTTGCAAAGCTAACCATTACCAATAGAACTTAGATTGAAATTCAGGAACTTCTGGTTTCTAGCTTTGTGTTCAGTCTGCTCACTGCACTCTCTATCTCACAGTATCTCAAAAGAATAATCATCTGGATAATAGCATGTAATTTGGCTCAGTTTGCTTTTGTCTGCCAGTAACAGAAGTGGCTAGGTGTGTTTAGTCTGAAGTCAGGCAGAAGTTAAGGCAGGGTGGCGCCTTAGAAATTAATTCAGAGGGTCATGAGCTTTTGTAGGCAACACCCTACTTTGTTATGCCTCTCTGACCAAATTAATCTGAGGGGGTGCTTATACATGAGCACGGAGACTCCTCTCACGCGCTGGAATTCTAGCACGTCGAAGCAGACTTGATTAATCGAGTAATTGGTAATTAGAGTACCGCACTCCAGCAGCCTCCCACATCTTGTGTATCAGTGTCCCTGTGCTTAAAAATGGTGGTGGGGGTGCCTCGAACTATAGCTTATTGAACGAGCTTTAGTTCAAGCACCCCCATGACCAATATTAAGCGCGGGGATGCTGATGCACAAAACACTGCAACACTTTAATTAGAGCAGCTTTTAGAGCCTCCCACCCCTGGAGTGCGTGTAAAAGTGCCCCAAAGTAGCACGCTGCCCTGCCTTCTGTTTGCCAGTACCATGGTCAAATTATATGTTTAAATATACTGTACTCCTTTATTTAAAGCACTATTAATGGTTGGAAGAAGCTGGGTGGAGACTAAGTGTTAGATACCATATTTTATCCTGTTTAGAGATTTAATTGAGCTTTTTGAGTCAAGTGTATTTTGTCATCTCCTTTGCTACTCTCAACCCCTGTTCTTAAATGGAATTGGTGGTGATTTGTTTGGTTTAAGTGGTTCTGGCACATTAAATGCCCTGCAGTTAACAGTGGCATTGTATATTAGAGAATTATAACGCAGCATCTAAATTACAGTAGCACCCAATACTGAGACTGGGTAACTGTGACTTTCAGTCTCTTCTTTTATAAATGACTATTTACATATCTAGGAACTGTCAGCTTGAATAGGAAAATAGCAAACCTTACACTATCCAGTGTATTCACAGAATGGGTTGAGAAAAATAAATAATGAAATACAAAATATTTCTTTGTGTAGATTTTAGAAGCATTAAAGGTGCCTGACTGGCACTTTGGGTGCCAGTGAATGACTGAAATTACTAAAATAAAATGAGTTAAAACTAGCTGCTGAGCCCACCCAGAGCCACCATACCAAAAAAACACTCTATCCCTGCTTAAACTTCAGGACCAAGTAAGGTTTTTTTTCCTCCAAAATTCAAAATAAATAAGAATTCCTTGAAATATTTATGAAGGTGAGATCAGGTTGGAAATAAGAAAGAGAATTCTACGTGCCTCTGGTAGTGAGAGAGAAAAGGTCTCATTATAGGCCACTCATATGAACAGATACTATTTTGTGATTGTACATTCAGATACAACGAGGCTGAACACTGTGAAATTAATTGTATAGGAACAGAGTAAAGGACCTCCTGGGTCACTGAGTCCAGTCCCCTGCTATCACAAGCAGCCACTTCATACAGTCACTTTTATAAACTTACTAAGCTCCATTGTAAACAAAGTTAGCTGTTTTGGTCCCTACTGAAAGGCGGCTCCAGATCTTGGTCTTGTGAGCATTAGAAACCACCTTCTAATGCCCTGCCCTGATAATATTCCTGGTCAGTTTATACCCATTTGGTTTTGTGCTGAAAGTCCTATAGCATAAATTGTTCTCCTTGCTCCTGGAGGTTTAGTCCTCTACCCGAATGAATTTATAGAGGATAATCAAGTTCCTTCTCACATTTGTTTTCCTCAGCTAAATAAGTCAATTTTTTCAGTATTCTCTTGTAAGAGAGGGGACTCTCCAGTCCCCTGATCATCCTGGTAGTCCTTCTCTTTGCCTGATCCAGTCTTAGTCCCTCTTTCTTGAATATAGATTTTTCAAATTGTGCATAGTAGTGCACATGACATCCTACTACTGCTTCATATGATGTCATTAGTTCTTCCAAATCTGTACTGGAAATAGCTCTCTTGATAAATCCTGTGATGATATTTGCCATTTTTATTGCTGCATCACATTGGTGGCTCATAATCATTCTGTAGAAAAACAGTCATGTTTTTCTCCTCCTGTCACTTCCAACTGATGAATTCTTTCATTTTTTTTATAGCTGACATTTCTGTTATTGATCACTAATTGCATCATCTTGTTCTTCGTATTATTAAACTTCATTATTAAACTAATTACAGCGCATTGGAGCAGACTTGATTAATCGGGTCTGCTGGAGCATGGTAATTACCGTACCCCAGCAGACTCCAGCATCACGTGTATCAGCATCCTCACACTGAAAAATGGTGGTGGGAGTGCTTTAACTAAAGCTTGTTTGACGAGCTTTAGTTAAAGTGCCCCCACCCCCATTTTTCAGTGCAGAGACATTGATACACGTGATACACCACTCTGAGAGATGCTGTAATTAAAGTGCTCTCCCCCCACTCCAGGAGCACGTGTATAAATGCCCCTAGTCCCCGAGATCATCCAGTTCTTCATTTTGATATTGAAATTCTTCCTCCTCTGTATTGATGATGTCTTGCAATGTAATAGACTGTGTTTTTAAATACTGTTGGTTAATCCTTATCATTTAGAGTATCAAAGCATAATTGGATTTAGACAATGTATGAATTTCCCCACATTTGACCATTTTTAGGAGCTCAGTGTTTATCACAGATGTCTGGTTTAAGGATGTGTGTGTATGCAAGTATCTTAGCTGTTATTGCCCTGAAAAGCATTAAAAGTAGCCAAACCGAAGTTTTCCCTGTCCTGGTAAACTGCTTTAAATCCATAAAGCAATTTACTGGCTTCTTAATAGGCATTTTAACAGTCATCTCAATTTTTTTGGTATTTATCATTCTGGATGTGGGGTGGTGGGGATAGATAGATCTGGTATTTAAAAGTGCTATGCTGCTTTCTGCATGTGTTTTTCTTCTGTCTGATGCAGCATTAGTACACGAAGGCACTGCAGAGTATATTTCCATTCTGCAAAGTCCTTGCTAATATATGACACTAAAACCACTGCTCCTATGTCTTTTGAATAACAAGTAGTTACATTGCATAGTCTTTTTCCTAAGAAGAGATTCACACTGAAAGGGGAACCTACAGTGAAGCAATATGTGCGTTTCGGGAGGGCGTGATGAATTCTCTGCTCATCCGGCTCCCTGTTGCTGACCCTCTCTCCAGCATTATCTCTATTGAGGCATCTGGTTGATGCCTCAACCAGACACCAGATTCTTATGTCATTGCCAGCAGTGAATCATCACCGGTTCACATAGCCAGCTCATGTATTCTCAGGTAAATTGTGAGGAGAGAATTTCTGCAGTTTCTCATCTCATTTAAGAAAGAGCCTGTGGAATAAGCTGCCTTCATTTGTCAGGGAAGCTGTGTTGCTAAGGTATCAAAGCATCATACCTGTTAGGTAGTTGTAGTGGATCTGGAGTCAAGAGCAGTAACCTTATAGAGCTTAAAGAACCTCTCCGCTGCCTTTGCAGTAAGGGTCTGACTTTTGTCATGAGAATTCTGGGTATATCATAAAATGTGACATTAAGACTAATTAAATTTCCTGGAAAGATAAGTTGTGGGACTAAAACAAGAGTGCACCAGACTCTTTAGTTACGTATTTTGTATATCAGTTTATGACAAACAGACGTTCGAATTCCTATGCTTGTTTGATGGTCTGTGCAAAATTTGTTGATGGGCCCAGTTTATTTGCAAGCTACCCTTTTCAATAGAGCCCTCTTTGTTGCGACAAGCTCCCTTCTAGGGAGGGTTCCTGGGTCTGTAGGGAATTTCTGGCACTATGAAACTGGGTTGACATGGAGCAGGTAGGGGTAGTGTGAATATTGGTAAACTTGCAAACATCATGGCACAGAGCTCTGCCAGCAGCGAAACCCATCTCAGGTAGATAAATGAGCCCACACTAGGCGCATCTACATATGCAATGAGCGTGCCTGAATAAACTCTGGCACGGTTCGCACTGGAGTTTATTGCTCCTGGGTGTAGCACTTACACATGTGCATGGGACTGCAGCACATTGAGCTTGGGCGGCGCAGCCCTGGCTGGCAGAAGGTCCGGGGGGCAGATCAGCTTGCCAGCCCAGAGCTGCTTTGACCCGGCTCAACATGCTGCGAAGGGGCTGGCTGGGGCATGAGGGTGTTACAGTGCAGGGCTAGCTGGCAGGCAGTTCCTGTACTGTAGCACCATTGTGCCCCAGCCAGGCCCGGTCACCGTCTACACATGTGTTGCTGTGGAGTAAATAATTCCACTTTAGAATAATACTTGTGTTGGGCAGCATTGTCCTATGGCAGAGGTGATTAGCTTACTCTGACCTAATAGTGCTGCACGTGTAGATGGTGACATTTTATGACTTAGTCAGCTCTGCAATAAAGCGCACATGTAGATATCCCCACCAAGCTGTTGTGATTAGTCTGCTATGGATGCTTAAACTATTGAGCGTAAAGCTAGTTTTCTTGAAATAAGTAATGCTGATTTAAAGAAAGTATTTCAGTATCTATGTATTATATCTTCACAAATCTAATAAATGGCTACTACAATTACTGTCACCCTTCTTTCTTAACATGTTTTCTTTCCTCAGTAGTGTATATATGCTACTTTAGATTCCCTTTTTAAATTTCGGAGACATTAATTTACACAAGAATAATCTGTTTTATGTGAGTGATGCTTTTCTGGGCTTGACCCTACGTGTATTACCTTCCAGGACTACGTTTTGTAAATTTATTCTGTTGCTATGGATCTACTCAGAGGTCCTATTTCTTATTATCTTTCAGATACTATTTAAAGAAGACTGATTGAGTGTGGATTCTGATTGAGTGTGGATTTACATACTGGATTTTAACAGCTGAAAATGAAGTAAGGTAATATTATAGCAATGTTGTTTACTACTATAATGAGTGGTGTTCATAGGATGCAAAGTAACGGTGCTTAAAGATAAAGTGAAATGGACGTACACATAGGAAACAAACTTCAACGTTATCAGCAGTGAGGTTCTAAGAGCAACTGGCTGGGTTTAAGTTTCAGTGGTGTTCTTATGGTTTAGTCATTTATCCTATTTTTAATTCTGTGGCTAATACCTTATTCTTACCAGAAGTTTTGTATTCCAACAGGCTACAGTAGGACCTTGACAGGTTACAAGGATGGGCGGAGGAGAACAGGATGGGGTTCAACACAGACAAGTGCAAGGTGATGCACCTGGGGAGGAACAACCGGCACCATACCTACAGGCTGGGGAACTCCCCTCTTGTCAGCACGGAGGTGGAAAAGGATCTTGGAGTCATTATTGACTCCAAGATGAACATGGCTCGGCAGTGTGGGGAGGCGGCTAGGAAGGCCAACTGTACCTTGTCGTGCATCCACAGATGCATTTCAAGCAGGACCAAGGAGGTGATCCTCTCCCTCTATGCGGCACTGGTCAGGCCGCAGCTGGAGTACTGCGTCCAGTTCTGGGAGCCGCACTTTAAGAGGGATGTGGACAGCATCGAGAGGGTCCAGAGGAGGGCCACTCGCATGATCAAGGGACAGCAGGGCAGGTCCTATGAGGAAAGGTTACAGGACCTGAACCTGTTCAGCCTCCAGAAGAGAAGGCTGAGGGGGGATCTTGTGGCCTGCTATAAACTAGTCAGGGGGGATCAACAGGCACTGGGGGAGTCCCTGTTCCCCCGAGCGCCGCCAGGAGTGACCAGGAATAACGGTCACAAGCTGGCGGAGGGAAGGTTTAAGTTGGACATCAGGAGGCGCTACTTCACGGTCAGGGCGGCTAGGGTCTGGAACCAGCTTCCAAGTGAGGTGGTGCAGGCTCCCACCCTGGGGGGTTTTAAGAGGAGGTTAGATGACCATCTGGCTGGGGTCGTTTGACCCCAGTACTCTTTCCTGCCATGGCAGGGTTCGGACTAGATGATCTGCCCAGGTCCCTTCCGACCCTAGAAACTATGAAACTATGAAACCCTTGTTTTGCAAAGTGATGTAGAATTTAGTCTGTCTGTTACACCCTGATAATTTGATTTGCTCATCTTTTTCTTTTGAATGGTATGTTTTGGGGATCTGCACAGGTTAATTTTTTTTTTAAATGGCCTTTATTAGACGGTTCCCTTCTTGGGTCTGCTAATCTGCCTTGCTCTTTCCTTCTCCCTCACATGCTATTTATGCTCTCTTTCTTCTTCATCACCCTTTCCAAGGTACACTCTCCTCCTTTGTCTTCTTCCCCAAGCTGCTGCTGCCTGCTCCATGCTCACCATGGTAAACCCAGGCAGAAGCTACAGGACATCAGTGCTTAAACCAGATGTGGGTAAAATATGGCCTGTGGGCTAGATTCAGCCTGCCAAGGTTGGCCCACAGCAGGTTTCTTGGCCCTGCCTGGCCCAGGCGTGGGGGCAGCCCAGGTTCTGCCACCCCCAGGTGCACAGCAGGGCTGGGGCAGCCTAGCAGCTAGACTCTTTTTCCCTTTAGCCCCAGCAATGGTTCCTTCTGGCTGTCGCTGCTGGACCCAGCCCTGCTGCTTGGGCATCCCAGCTTGTCTGCCCTGCACTCACTGCTGAGGGTGGAATCTGTGTGGATAGGGCACGCGGCTGGGCACCTGGGATGGGGCCGGGAGCGAGACAGGCAGGCAGGGCCGGGGATCAGAATCAGGATTGTGGGGCAGTGACAGTACAAGCCCAGGGCCTGTGGCAGAGCCGCAATCTGCTGCCTTCATGCTCCTGTGATAGCTGCTGGTTCTGTAGGCAGGGGCATGTAGGAAGTAGATCGCAGCTCTGCCTTGGGCCCTAGCCACGTTCTTTCACCATCCCAAGATCCCAGCTCCAGCCCTGCCTGCCCATCGTACTCCTAGACACAGCTCCCCACCCACCTGAAGCCCCATCCAGCCTGCCTGGCTGTGCACCCTGCCCATGTAGGTCTCAACTAGTCTCCATGGAGACCCTGGGATCACTGGGTGGTGACAGTGAGGGCTGGGGCCCCGGGCAGATTTGCGATCCACTCCCTGCAGGCCCCTGCCGGAGGAACCAACACCCATTACAGGGGCGTGCGGGCAGCATATCACAGCTCTGCCCCAACCTTGGCCCTGGCCTGCCTGGTGCTGCTTTGGCTCAATGCCCCACCTCCACCCACATGCTGGGAAGAGCCGGGGCAGCGCTGGGTGGCAGCTGGGAGCTGAGCTGCGGTGAAATTTGGGATGGATGTAGCATCCTCCCAGTGCTGCCGGCACCTGCTCTGAGCCCAACCTTCACTGGGAAGAGCCCCATGTGGCCCCGGCTGCAGCCCACCCTGCCCCGCGCAGATCTGGAGGCACACATTCCACCCCCTCCATGCTGTCCTGGGGTGCAGGCAGTGGTGGGAGCTGCTGTCCCCCCCCCGCGAGCCGCAGCTCCGCCTCCCCCTCTGCCTGGGCAGCACCTGCCCCTGTCCCCTCCCTCACCGCAGGGGGCGTTGATTTACCGCCCCCCCATGCCCCTTTCCTCCCTCCTCCTCTTCCACCACAACAGACTTACCAGCTGGAGGCAGCTTTCCACACTACTGGCTGTGCTCCTGGCTGCCTGAGTGCTGCACTGCTGCTGTACGCAGCAGAAGCATTTATCGGCCAAATTATTGGCCCCATCAGGTCGGTACCCGATACAGCAAATTTTCTTTATATCGGTACCAATCCAATATCAGACTGATGTACCTGTGTACCTCTAGTAGTAAACATTTTAACTAGCTTGCTGATAAAAGGCAGACAAAATCCATAAAGTGCATAACAAGGTGGTGGATATGATTGTCTGTATTTTTCCCCTCTGGGACTTGAAACAGTGCAGCAAAAAGTACTGGGGAGTTGTGCATAGGGATACAGTTGCTAGGATCCCTTAGCTAGTTCTACAGCTGCAGTTAGCATAAAATGAATTGCAGCAAAACATGTCCCTCATTTCTTCTTAAACCTCCTTTTAATCATAGTCTGATTAACATTTGCATTAAAAGACCTATTGGAGCCATCATGCACTGCCATCCCTTACAGCGGTCCTTTTCATTGGGGAAACTAGCGCAGTGTTGCAGCTATGGCAACCTTGCATATCCTGTCACAGAAAGCCATCATAAAATGGGGAAAACAGCTGAGCCTAGTGCATTTAGGACGCCTGTGTGGGGACAGCATGCTGTCCTAATTAAATGTTTGTCCCTAAGAAGGCCTTGTTCCTGCAATGAACTCCACACAAGCAGATACTTAACTCTGAAGCTCATTCTGGATAACAGCCAAAGAGAGGGAATGCAGAAAAGAAATACAGTGCTGAGGCTGCATCCTCTATTTGCTTTTGCTTTTTCTTTTTTTTTTTTAAAACGTCTACAATAAAAGAGAGCTTACAATTTTACACTTATTAAGCAACGCTTAACGCTTTTTGTTGTGGCTCTGTAATGCAGACTTGAGGCCTGTTCTGTCTTCATTGGAGACCAAGTCTTGTCTTTTCCTAAATCAGTTACCTGGATGATGTCCCTCAAAAACAGGGATGCTCAGTCCCCCCAGCCTGTGAGCCAGATCTGGTGCCCGGTGCTCTGTAATCAGGCCCATGGGCCTCTGCACAGGTCTGAAAATTTGGCAGCGGGGTAGCAGTGGTACTGCTTCCCTGCTGCCAAATATCCAGATCATGGGGAGCCCCAGGCCACGTGAGCTACACTGGGTGAGCAGAACAGCATGGGGCCCAGTCCCAGCACACAGGACTGGATAGATGCAGTGCCAGGCCCCAGGCTCAGTCCTGGCATATGGGGCCCAATCCTGACACATGGACCTGGCTAGGTGTGGTATAGGCTTGCCTGTTCCTGGAGCACAGTGGCCAGTAGAACCAGTGTGGGTGCCGATCCTGGATCATGGGGCCTGATTCTGGAGCACTTGGCTCAATCTATCCCACGGACCAGTGCCTCATTGCTCGTCTGGCCCACAAGATCAAAAGCTTGAGCACCACTGCTCTAAGCCATCTGCTTTACTAAATTGAATCCTGATGCCATGTGAAGAACAGTGCACTTCAATACAAGGAAAGAG